TCACAAGCTGGATGGGTTCCACGTTGGAGACTGGTACGTCAAGGCCTTGGAGGTCAAGCGCGCGGCGTTCGATGCAACGGACCGTGGGGGAGCGGCGGACCGATGTCGACTGGGAGGTGCGGACGGCGTGGATTGTCTGCGAGGAGTCGCTGGTTACGTATGAGTGTTTGAAGGTGTCGTTGCTGTTGGCGTCAGCATGTCGCGTGATGATGGGGATTTGGAGCATTGGTTCAGTTGATATTGGGTATACGAGATGGTGTTGTAGGGGGAGCAAACCCGTACGCCAACTCTAGAAGATGTCTTCGTTCTTCGGGTGTAATGAAGCCCTCGAGGTACATCACCAGTGGGGATTTGCTGGCGACATAAACTTTATACGGCGGATGCACACATTCGAATTCGTTGGAGAGAGGAGTTTGGGTTTCGCCATGTGTGAGCAGCGCGAGCATGAATAGTATGGCGCCGTAGGCAAGACTTTTGCAGGACATGTTGACTTTTCTCAAATTGAACCTGCTTGAGCATCAAAATCTTTCGCAACCCAGCTGAAGATGGCTGCCAGCAACATTTATTTACTATAGCCTCAAGCCAGGGGCACTTGAAACTCATGGCACATCTCGAGCCGCGGCTTAGGCTTCATCGACGCCTCCGCTACATGGGTGCGTCACAGAATTCGGGTGCCCCTCATCCTACATGAGCTTCAATTGCAATAAAGTCCGGAAGGTTTCCCGTGGTATTGCGGAGGCAATTCCATCCTACCAGACAAAAGACGATATATGAAGCCACCATGAGGTCCCAATTTTCGGCAATGACGTTGCTGGCATGCCAGGCACTGGCTTGGAGCCACAGTAGTGCCAAGGAGCTAAAAAGTTTGTTGACGAAGAGGGACAATACTTTGGTTGCCTGTAAGCATTAAAAGAAGAAGGAAAATCAATAAAAAGAAAGAAAAAAAGGCCCTGCTAACATGATGGTAGTTGTCGTGGTGAGTGAAAGGACCTACGCCATCGCATAATAACTCTAGTTGACGATCGAATCACGTCAAATAGCCTGACCAGTAGGTTGAGAATCAACCCAAGACTTCATCTGATGGTAATTGAGATCGTCCAGCGAGACCAGCAAGGCTCTATTGCCAGAATGGACTACTCTCCAAGATAAAATTGCAACCAAGTCGATCGATTGTATTGCCTCACAGGATTTGTGTGCCGAGTTCGATGTCGTCTCGTTCCCTGCTATTCGTCTGTATCGTGGAGCCCAACCAATGATCCGATATCGTGGACCACGCACAGCCTCGTCGTGAGTCTTCTCCGAGCTGTAACCTGTGATTGGGCTCTCGCTCTCATTGCCAATGTCTAAGCTGCTTTTAGTCTCATGTCCTTCTTCGCACGACAACAGCAACCTGCATATACCAAATTGAGCAAGAATCAAATAGAAAGGTTTACTACCACAGACGACTTCGTTGTCATAGCGCACTTGCACGAAGACGACGAGGAATTGCTCAGTCGATTCTCCACAACTGCCGAAGCGTATAGAGATCGCTACTCATTCGGGTATTCGACCGACGTTGCGCAACAAGACGCGAGCAGATTAACATGCTACAATAACATTGACAATCTGGAGCACTCAGAGGCAGAACTAGACCAAAGCGGAGTCATTGAACGATTCCTCGAGACTTGCAAGGAACTATTGATTCCGCAATTGACGCGGAGGACAGAGCTCAAGTACAGGCGGGTGAGCTGTTAAACCCCAACTGTCTGTATTGGGACAGAGAGTGAGCATGGGTGCTAACTTGGAAAATCATAGCCGGGGAAGTCGTTGGTGTACTATTTTACTGGCGAAGAGTCCGACCGAGACTTGTACGTGAAGAGGATGAAGCCGCTTGCCAGGACATACCACGAATATTTAAGGTTTGTGACAGTTGACAGTACCGAATATGCCGACATGTCGCGCGGCATGGGCCTGGAATTGGAGAGAGGTCTCGTGGTGGAAAACACACACGGCGGTCAGCTTTTCCCATACCGTGGCTCAGGTGGTGATATTGGGATCGGAGAGGTTGAAAACTTTATTACGGCAATTTCGCAGGGAGCAGTTCAGCCCTGGACAGGGCACCGTGATGACTCCGCAAAAGACACAGGTGGCTGGAGCAAACACAATGTGCGCGATGAACTCTGAGACGGCTCCAGATGGCGTTATTGAAACTCGTGGGTGGGTGACACGCTATGATTGGGTCGTCGAGACCAAGCATTTTCTTAATCAAAGGCTTCCGGTGCCTGGCAGGGCTGGCGGGAGACTGACCAGACTAGACTTGCTGATGGGACTAGCCTGGACTAGTAGCCCGACAGACTACAATGTACTATGCATAATAGTAAGAAGTACTATCAGTAATAAAAGGCCAGGGGAGCCACATTTAATGACGATCTAGACGATCCAACCCACGGGGGCAGAGGCTCCTTGCAAGAACCGTTGGACCCTTTGAAAGCTGGTTTCAATCTCTGCCCTGAGGCCCACAGGACCATTGCTCTGGATCCGTGGGTTGAGCCACCCTGATCGGCGGTACTTGTTACTGCCGTGTACTCCGTAGTTGCATTTCTTGGTCGAAGATGATGGCCATCTTCTCTGGTGTAAAAGGCGTCGGCAGGGCGCTTTCAGCTCGCGGCGGAGGGATACTCGGCACCAAGGCTGAGCGAAGCCGTCACTGGTCCGCGCCACGTCTCGTGTTGCACTTGACTGCTCGGGGTGCTTTCAATGTTGGGTGGTGGCTGTTCTCGGGGGTCGTCCACGTTACTGGCGCGCAACTGGGTCATGGTGGTTTTCTGTAACAGAGACTGACAGAGTAAGCAGGTGACAAGGCGACAATGACAAGGTTGATGCGGACGGATACTACACAAGTTGCCCACCTAGGTGGGTAGGTGAGGTGACACGAGTTGAGAGGACTGAAGGGATAACGTGGCAGACATTGTCAGGAAAAATGCCTGTGGCCCCGACACCTGAGCTAACATTAGAATAGTCCGGTGGCGCAGTAATCAACTGATAGCCTCGGACGTTCCAGCCGAGCGTGGTGAGCGCTAGTAGTGCCACAAATTCAAGTTGACGCAAGGTGCGGAGGTTGCAGGGTGAGGCGATGCAGACGCAAAGCAGACAGCCAGTCAGGAGACCGGGGCACAGGTTTTGCGTTTGGACATGTCGAGCCAAGCACGGGAAAAGGAAGGTGGGCGGAAAATAGGAGAAGTGTTTCTCGTTTCTCGAGGCTTCGAACCTTCCAAGTTGGAAAATTGGTTCTACGATTTCCATGTTAGAAGACTTGCCCTGCAATTAATCGGTAGCCTACTCCGTACATCCCGAATATCTAAGTACCTAGTACGTACTTATGTACGGAGTGAGTACTTAAGTAAGTACATAAATGCGCAGCATCTGCCGACTGAGCCGCGAGAATCCACTCAATTCTGTCTGGCGCACTCGCAGCGAGATGATAGGTACTTGACCGACACCAGACGGGGAAAACCTGGGAATATTGACCCCGACATTGAAGGCGACTGGCACAGGGTTGTGAGCGTTTGTGGGCGCCTGTGGACTCGTGGTGGGCCCATGCCGACTATACTTGCTCGACATGTTTGAAGCCGACGTTTTGACCTTTAATGTTGACATGATCCTGTCTGCCAGCCCCAGGGGGGAGGCCAATGCTTCTAGTCAGCGGCATACAGTGATAAAACTTGGCCAGCTTGCCAGTGTACCGAGTTGTCTGGTTGCACAGAGTTCCAGCCATGTTGACTGCTGCTGGATGGCGCTCGACGCAATCACCGCCGCCGCCACCTCGTCAATGGCCACTGGTGCCTCTTTCGAATATAGCACGCTTGAGAGTGCGAGACCATGGAAAGACGAGGTTCGGCGGAGACCCTTGCCGAGACATGGCCCCTACGTCGTCAAAGACCCGGTGAGCCTGAACACCCTCTGCTTGCTGGATTCGTCACTAGTGCGCGATGAGAGGCCAAAAAAAGAGAACAGAGTTCGCCTTGTTCCCATCAAGCGGGTCTGCGGGACAGCTGGGGTCTTTATGTCCTGTGTCTCGTGTATCCTAGCACGTTGTCTTGTGCCATCAATACATACTGCTCAAGTGCACAGCTGATCCTGCCAGAAGCAAGTACCCTCCTCGCTCGACTGCCACCGCCTAGCCGTCGGCTAGCCGCGAATCTCGTCTTTGAAATGGCGTCGACCGGCATTTGGGGCCTTTAATGCGCAGCTAGTCCATTTCCCAAGTACATCCATTCATACGGTACCTATCCACGTAGAGTTGTCGTAGTACGTACGAAGCTAAGTTGTTGCGTCCATGTCCGCGCCGCCCCAGTCTGTGTTGGGGTGTGTTTCGCTGTTTGCCTTTTTCTTTATGCCTCGAGCACCTCCGATTTTTTTCATCCAACCCTGACTCGGATTTTCTTCTACCTCTTCTTCTACCTCTTCTTCTTCTTCATCGTCGTTTTCCTCGTTTCCTGGCCTGGGCTTAAAGAGTATCAACTCTGCCCCTTCGTCTGTGCTTGCTCGCGTGGAAGAAGCTGGAGAATACAAGGCCTGATTTAAGCTACCTGTGCTTCACATTCGTTCATTGGACCATTCCGAAGAGGCCGTTCAGCCCACGTGTCTGCCAGCTCCTCGAAGTACTGCGATTAGTCCGAAAACAGGATCGAATCCGTTCAGACTTTGACTGTGTATCTTCGGGATCTTTTTGCATCTTTTTCTTCTTGTTTCATTATCATCATCATCATCATTATTATTCATCCGGCACCCCTTTTCTCTTCTTCTTCTTCTTCTTCTTCTTTTTTTCGGAACCTCGGTTGCTTTAATCTCGGACAGCCCGCGACTATCTTTTCTTCCCTTGGCTCTGTCGTATCATGTTGGGTCTTTGGGACAAGCAAACTTGGCCTTCACCAATCGTCGGCAGAATGGCATCCACTAGACTTTGCTCGAGAAGGGCTATTTTTTTTATGATGGTGCTCTGTCTGTTTATGTTGGTGGTGATGCTCAGCTCGAAACAACTAGGTCCGTTATGTGACGGCCCCTATTGCGACATCTACGGCTTGCGAGAAAAGCTGCCCAAGCTTGGAAACGATGCCGCATCCGACAGCAAACTTACAGGTGACAAAGCTCACGATGGGGCTCAGCACGTCGAACAGGACTTCAAATCCCCCGGGCTTGATGACGAATGTGCGCTGTTCCCCAACACTTCCAGTGTCTTGCTCATCATGAAGACTGGCGCCTCTGAATCCTATTCTAAAATACCTACCCAACTTATGACCAACCTTAAGTGTCTACCCGACTTTCTTTTCTTCAGCGACATGGCTCAAAAGATTGCGGGCTACACCATCCATGACAGTCTTGACACCGTGCTGGACGAAGTCAAGGAAAAGAACAAGGATTTCGACCTCTACTACCGACAGAAGAAATGTCCCGTCGACCAAGAACAGTGCAACAAGGACTATGATGTGGCTCAGCAAGGATGGAGCCTGGACAAGTATAAGAATATTCATATGGCGGAAAAGGCGTACAAAATGCGACCCGACTACGACTGGTATCTGTTTGTTGACGCCGACACCTATGTTGTTTTCCCCACGTTGATGGAGTGGTTAAAGCAAATGGATCCCAACAAGCCGCATTACATTGGCAGCGTCGCCTACCTTGCTAATTTTCCATTTGGTCACGGTGGTAGCGGTTATCTCGTGTCCAGGGGGACCATGCACTCTATGTTTCACGGCAAAACCGGTGTGGCGAATAAATACGACGAGCCGGTTCAACACACCTGCTGCGGTGACTTTATGTGGTCAAAGGCTTTGAAGGACGAGACTGGTATTCCGGTCGTCAATGCCGTAAGCATCCCGAGACTGACAGTATCGTACAACAATCGCTAACGTGTCTCAGTGGCCTGTTATCAATGGGGAGAAACCACACACCATTCCATATGCCGAAGACGAGTGGTGCCAGCCCATTGTCACCATGCACCACGTTGTTGCCGAGGACATCTCTGACCTGTACGCTTTCGAAAAAGAGCGCAAGTTCAAGAAGATGCTGCGAATCAAGGACCTGTATCACAAGTTTATGAGCCCGGAGCTGGTGGAGGCACGACCAGACTGGGACAATCTGAGCGAGGATGTGAACTACCTCAACAGCACCCGGGCCGAGTACGACGAGTGGGACTTGGCCAAAGCCAAGACTGAAAATCTATCAGACGCAGAAGCTGATGCCTACAAGAGTTTTGACGACTGCAAGAAGGCCTGTCTGAGCATGGCCAACTGCTTCCAATTCCGCTACCAGAATAGCATTTGCGGAATTTCCCACAAAATCAAGCACGGCAAACCTGCTAAAAAGGGCAACGACGACTCTAAGCGATACATGAGTGGGTGGAACGTGGAGAATATCAAGAAGTGGGTTGAGGAGCAAGGTGATTGCGACAAACACAATTTCGAATGGCCAGTCAGCGACAAGTAAATCATGGACCACGCGACTTTGTGAACCGCAGATTGATATAAGCCCAGTCAGTCCATTGACGCCACAAACGACATTGGGACCCGACCGCAGATGACTTGGATTGCTGCGCGCTGATTGGGCGAGCTGAGCCAAAACCTACCACTATGGCATGGGCAGGTCGACTCCGATTTTTGTTAATTCCTTTTCTTTTTCGTTTTCTTTCCGGCGGCTCATCAGTGAAAGCTGTTTTGGAAAGGTAAAAAGTAAAAAAAGGTATCCGCTATTACCTTGTGTCGTTCTTGACTTTATTCATGATTAGAGGCGGATTAAAGGATAAAAACATGTTGGTTGACGTTTTTGGAATACTACATCGGTCCGGCGAAGTAGGCAGGCAGCCTCAAGCTGCACGCCATGAGGCGCATCTTGGAATATCGGCGGCAACGGCTCGGGCCAGCAAATGACGACATTGGATGGGCGAATTCGGCTTGCATTTTGGATTACGGTACGCTTGGGGGGTTTTCAGGAACATGCAACGATATACCCGCCTCCCGAATGGTTGGGAGGCATTCGAATTCAAAATCCTATGCCTACCTGGGATATGCCAGCGGCGCTGGCTTTTTTTATTCTTATTTTCCTTTTTTGTGGTTTAAGCAAAGCGAACATAATTTATCTCTGGGGTGAACAGGAGTTCTAATAGGAGGCAATAGATGGCACTGGCGAAAGCTCCGACGTGTTAAGACTGATGGTACGGTGACAAGGCGACAAGATGAAGGTGTGTCAGTTGATTGCCACATGACATGGTCATGTTGCCATGACGCAGTTGAAAGTTGAAAGTCGGACAGATCGGTACCCGATCGTGCAGCTATGCAAGAGGGTCTAATTATGGTCCATGGTGGATAATAAGGGACCAAAAGTACGGGTACGCAATAAGGGGGAATAGGTTGGCCCACACGTCATCAGTCCCCCCAATTTGGTTGGTTCGTTGCACGACGTGAACTAGTGGTTGCGGCACGACCTGCCGGCACGTACGGTACATATGTACATACGCATGTGTGGCGATGGGGGAACGTTTAAAGTTGTCTTGGATGCGACGCGAGGGCCTTGTGCCGCTTTGTCGGGTGTGGGTAGGCGGCTGAATAATACCATCAATGATAGAATTAAAAAAAAAAAAAAAGCTTGAATACTACCGTCCTGTCTTGACCCCGTAGCGGGCCAGCTGTGCATAGCGCCCAAAGGTTGGATGGCAGAGACGTGATGTGTAGGAGGTGGTATTGCAGGAGGCTGAGCAGGGCGCGGCTGCCTGTCATGTCGGGTCGACGGTAGCACTTGGCCTGTGTGGTCCCGGTTGGAGTGGCAGCGTGCAGTGCCTGGCTAGTGGGCTTTTGAGATTGCGGCCCGTCAGGCTATGCGCCGCCCCCGTCAACTACCCCGCCGAGACCCCACCGTCCAGTCCTGCAGCATCAATTGATCTGGTTGGCACCGGGGACTTGAGATGTTGGCGGTTTGCGGTTCCTGAAGGTAGGGCAGCGGCGGTCGTGCATGAATGACGGCAGATGGAGGGTGGCAGCGGGCAGTGAGGCCATGCGGTGGGCGGTACGGAGTAATTGATGCCAATACATACACTTGAGCATACAGTGCCGCGACCAGTTGACGCGTTATTTAACCACTCTGGGTCGTTCATTTGACTGATTATTAGCACCGTGTAGATATAGTGCCGTGTACTCCGTACGTACTGCCGGATACATATCTGTATGTATTTGAACACGTTGCACTGCAAACTTTCGCGCCCTCCCTCCAGTCCTCCGGCAACTTTTACAGCTGCGCAACTCTTGTTAGTTTCTGCTAGTCTTCCACCCCTTGGATCGATCCATCCTAAAGGGGGAGAGCGCGCACGGGAGACACAGGACACCCGACCCAGCATTTGGCATTTGGCATTTGGCATCTGGCATCTGGCATCTGGCTGGTATTTTGAGCATTTGGGCACTCAGACAAGGCTGCGGCTGGCGGCTGACGGGGGCACGAGATATGAGATGCAGCCATGATTCTAGTCTCTGGGTGAAGCTCACGCGGGCTCGCACTGGGCTCGCACTGGGCTCCGTATCACCCCTGGCTTTCAATGCTGCACCCCCCAGATGTCCCGGTGCCGGTACCTGGCAAACCGAACGCGGGCTCTCACTGCCCACTGTGCCTGTCGCTTTGCTGCGCCAGGCTGTTGCTCCGGATTCCCTCTTGCCTTCCATGTTCCATTCCACTCCACATCAATCATTGCGCCCCCCCCCGTGCCAGTCTCGTCCAGTCTTGTTCAATCTGGTCCAATCTTGTCTAGTCTTGCCCAGTCTGCTTCCCGTCTTCCCTCTTCCTTCTTCCTGGCTTCCGCCTTCGCCAAATCTTATATCTCCTTCGCCTCTTGCTCGCCTCTTGACCCCGATTTCTCATTTCCAATTCCCCCCATCTTCTACTGTACACTGTTATATCCCAGCGTTGCCGCCTTTTTTTTATTGCTACTGCTGCCGCTACTGCTACCGCTACCGCTACCGCTGCCGCTACCAAGACCGTTGGCCGCTCATCGTTTCGAACTACACCGTACTTGTACCGCACCAGCTCGACCCTCGCCAGCTTCGCCAGCACCCCCCGTACATAGAAACTACAAACTACGCCATCTTCACAATGACTGACGCTGAGCTCGATCGCGACTGGGTCCCCAACGGACGCCGACCCTTATCGTACGTCTTTTCGTATCCTCTCCTTTGGTCAATGCCCCTTCTCCCCAAGTTGAATTGGCATGACGGTGTTTGATAAGGGGCAGCGAGCAACCACGCCAGCTCTCCTATTCTTTCCCGCCTTTCACACATGAGAGCTAACAAGCCATGACTTGCTTCAGGACTGTGGCCCGCTCCTTCTCCCAAGAGCTGATGGACATCTTCCGCATCGACAACTCCGTTTCTGACCTTGATCAGCAAGTTTCTCAAAGGTTCGTCATCTCACGTCGTCTATAAAACTCCCTCGTCGCCCCACCTGCAGCTGCACAACCTAACGCCCCTGGGTATTCAGACGCGATACCGTGGGCAAAAACAACCAGGAGCTTGCCGACCTCGAAGCCCGTATCCGCGAAATGGAGGAACGCCTCCGTCGCAATAAGGGCGGCAATCCTGCTCAGCGATCTCAACAGTCTGCAAGTGTTGCTCCCCCTGCACCCTCAAAGGGTGAAAACAAGCCGCGACCAGGTGCGACTCGTGCCCCCCAGCAAGCACCCAGTTCTGGCAACATGCCCCCAACGCCTGGGGCCAGCGAAGGTGATTATTATCTCGTGACCCGGGCTGATTTGGACGACTCCCCTCGCTGACTTGCTCCTTTATTGGCCTCGATGACAGACGGTGATGCCGAACTGTAAACAACACATTCTCGGTCCGTGTACTTTGGTGCTTGTCAAGCTATTTGGCTTTTCGTCAGGGGGGGCGGGTCGCTTCTTTGTTTCCAGGCACACGGTCAGCCACGAACGAATATAGTCTCATGGTTTAGTCACCGACTGAAACCATGAGCCTCATCTTCACCAAGCCACATGGAGGCCCCGCCTCGTATTGGGCGAGGTCATGCCGAGGACCACACGCTTCAAATTCTACTTTTTATGTATGGGTAGGGAGACCATGGATGCACACCCATTATACCACTGCCTCCTGATCAATATGTTTTTGTATTTACTTCGTCACTCGTTCTGGACGAAATTATCCTCGGCGTTTAAACGGCTTCAACGACACTTATTGTTCCGTGCAACTATCTGGAAACACCAGATACCCGATTCACTGTACTCGTTTTTTTATTATAAACCAACTTTCTCTCGAGATATGAGTTACTTTTACCGGTTCGCCCACGCCCATCGGCAGGCCCAGACCACTCGCACAACCATGGCCATTACAAGTCTTTTTAATATTTAGTTGGGGATCCTTATTTTTTTTAACCTTGTTTTCTTGGTGCGACAAGGAGATACTGGGAGCATTGAGGAAGGCTCAACGATGCAACGGGGAAGAGATTGGGAAACATTGCAAGGGCTCTGCTAGAGCGATGGGAAAGATGCGGCTTCTCAGACTGATCCTGAGAGCCAATGACTTTCAGACTTGTAATATCACGACCAGGATGTTGCCTGTGCTTCAATGTCCATTGCCCTTGTCCATTACTTGTCCTGCTCAGTGATTGTGGCGTGCCATGTGCAGGCCTTGTTTTGCCCACACCTGTATTGTATGCTTTGGTGAGAAGTAGCTTGTTGGCCTGTTTTGCGCCGTGTCGCCTTTTCCAGGAATTCCCAGTTGCACAGAAGTTTCCGTGACATTGTTTATAATAGTGGGGAGCTAACCAATTCTCGAGCCTATCTGCCATAGCCCAATGATTCCAAGAAGAAATTAAGAGAGACAAAACACAGAACATTAGCTGTGTACAGTTTATGGTAGAGTATATTTACCTAGGTACCTACCAAGATGTATACACTAATGTACTGTAATATATTATACATACACACGAGGATATTAAATTATATTATAGTATAAAGCGCTATAAAGCAGTACTTTATTTAAGCACGTACTTTTGCTTGCTTTTATAACAAACTATAATAAGTGTATTGGGTGGAGTAATAGCTTTATTAAGTAGCTGTCTAATCTACCCACTACCCAGTGCTCAGCACGTAGTTAAATAGGTACTTGCTTCCTGCATGCGTCATCTATGCATCGTGAAGGATCTTATTAGCTAACCCAATTCTGTTTTTGCCAACATCAAAAGCCACGAAAACCGCTTTGAGCATCACGTTGCCTAGGATAGTCCCGGCCATGTCTTCGGCGCTTTGCATGCCGGCCCAGCAGAGGGAGGGCTCCGTATCGAGCGGACCGTAGTTGAGATATGGGCCTGGTATACGAATAACGTGTTCCGTTGGAAGCTTGAATAGGAGATCGGGGAGATCTTGAGAACCCTCACAGGGGAATTTGTACACGCCCGAGAGCAGGCCAGATTTCTGGACACCTGGGACATCTTCCCAG